GGGTTTTGGAAATGGTTCTTCTTAATCTATATATTTAATACACAGTTGTAACACTGTTTTCTCAGTAATTACTGGACCGATCTACAAGATTTATGTCTCAAATTAAAGGGGATAGTGTGTAGATTTGCCAAACTTCCTTAGAATTAACGTTTTTCCTAAGGGCTACGACCTACAGCCCTTTAAAGGTCGAGTCAATACAATTCTTATTGAAGAATATAATACACAGTTTATAAATTATTCGTCAGCTGTTTAATGTTTGTCAAACATTTGTTATTATTTTTATAACCTCACTTTTAGTATGCAATTATTAAACTTGGAGTTTCTGTTTATAAACACACGATTTTGATCAAGGAAAGTGTATTGGTTAACTTAGTTTTGAAATGTTTTAGTTTTCCTGCAAAGTGATCTGAAGGAAAGTGGTAATTGAGTTTAAGTTTGAGTATGGAATGTGAAATAATACCCATAGTAGGGAACTGAAACTTATTGTTTTGATCAATATAATTTATTCTCTACGGCCACCAGAATAATCATGGGGAAATCCGCTTGCAAGTTGTACATATAATTGCTAATGAGTGGGAAACATACAAACATTTTATAGTAGGTGACGAATCTTACTCAAGATCAGCGTTAGACGTTCAGTGGTACAAAACTTTACCTTCTCGAGATGGCGAGTATGCTGGGATACGTGGAACTACAATATAGGTATCAGTGATTTTTTTTTTCAAGTACACAGGGAAGTTGCTTGAGAAACTGTGACTTACCATTCGGTTCTGGTGAAGAAGTATGTGACTTGATGTGTAAATGGCAATGTTGACTCAGGTCATTATAGCGTTATAAAACTTTATCATTAACCCCAGGGTGTGAAAAGTACAAAAAGAAAAAGAAAAGGTAATCATTAACCGGGCGTAAAGAGACATACCGAACGAAAAAAAATGTAGAGAACCATCGAACTAAAAAGGTAAAGAGCAGTGTTGGTGTTAAATGTGCTCTGGAAGTCCCTACAAAAAATACCAACTCTTTTGAATTGGGGTCGTTAGATTGGATTTGTCACTACTTCAAATCTATGAATTTCGAGTCAGAACAGACTAACTGGGACACAAAAATGTTTTAGTTTTCCTGCAAAGTGATCTGAAGGAAAGTGGTAATTGAGTTTAAGTTTGAGTATGGAATGTGAAATAACACCCATAGTAGGGGACGGAAACTTATTGTTTTGATCAATATAATTTATTCTCTATAGCCACCAGAACAATCATAGGGAAATCCGCTTGCAAGTTGTACAGATAATTGCTAATGATTGGTAAACATACAAACATTTTATCGTAAGTGATTAATCTTACTCAAGATAAGTGTTCGACGTCCACATTTTACCTTCTCGAGATGGAGAGTACGCTGGGATATTTGGAACTACAATTTATCAGTGAACTTTACCCTCACTATATTTTTTCGAGTAGGCCTACACACTATTTTTTTAGGAAGTCCCTTCTAAAAAATACCAATTTTTTTAAATTGGGGTCGTTAGATTGGATTTGTCAGTAGCCTACTGCAAATCTATGAATTTTTAGTCAGAACAGACTAACTGGGACACAAATATTTTTTCCTTATGTTGTCACAAGGGGAAGGTAAAATGAACTCCTTATCAACATTTTGAGTTTATGGAAAATCTTATCAACAGCGACTATAAAAAAAGTATTAAGGGTCAAAGGAGACAAAAAACTATTTGAGTAAAATATAATACAAATCTGCATTTGAAATGGCCAGTTCTAAGTCTCACTTGAATCAACATCTTTCTGGTAGTGGTAGTCTACATAGTTTTAAAATCCACGACTCCTTTTCCATCAAATTGGACCGTTAATACCCTCTAACATTGAACAAAGTAGGCATATGCCCAACTTTATATATACTACGTAAACACAGCTTTTACTCACAGTATGGGTCAAAGATTCGTGAAATACGACCAACTGCTGATGCGTGATTTACATGTAGGCTAAAAGTGACTATCTTTATTCCATACAACAAATGTAATGAAAAAAAACTACGAATATAGGAATATACTTGAGCAAATTATCTAAATAGCATAAATAGCTGCTTATTAGGTTATCAGCATTGCCCAGTTTGTATACTATTTATTTTTCAAATGAAACTCGAATTAATATAAAACATTCATTTGGTTAAAATAATATATCGGTTTGATTAACATAATATAGTTTATACAGGCAAACTATCAGTTCTGTTTCATGTAAAAATTAAACAACCCCTAAATAAAATACAAAGATAAACAATAATTGTTAATTATTATTTCTTTTATTGCTGACAATATTCCCGTGGCAGAGCACGGGCGGTTAACTAGTTACTCTAAATTTGCAACTGTTTTTTTTTTTTACTCTGTTTAATTTAAAGCCATATTTTCCCATTTGTTACATTTTGAACAATCAGATGTTTGAAAACTTTACAATAATGACATGTTAAAGTGGTGATGGTTGTATATATTTTCTTAAAATATCTCGAAAAACACTCTACTTGAAACAAAACTCTGATGCTGTTGATGTTACTGATCATTATCGGGCAACAGAGGGACAACATTCGGTGTTTAACATCCCTTGATTTGAAAAAAAACTCGGTTTTGCATATAAAATATCCCATTATCTTAAAGACGCCGTAACTCTAGAAAAGCGATTAAGATCGGACCCACAAACCGGATTGAATGCTAAGTATGCAGAACTTACTTTAGTTTTAAACGATCCTTTAAAAGTTTTTCAACTGGTCCCAAAGGAATAGCATTGACGCGATATTCTGTGATGGTTGCTGTAAGTAATGTGTAATTCACTAATTTGTTACAAGTGATATAACAGACTTGATGGTAATGTTTGTTCTGTCATTACTACTATGTTGCCTTCCAATGTACTTGAAAAGTAAAGAGTACGATAAGGTACACATATATAATAACTCCGACACCACAAACTTATAAGCACGCACTGGAATTTGTAACCGACATAATACCAAATTGAGATGCTGTATATGTAATTAAAAAAAAGTAATGCCGTATGTTTTTAACCATAGCTTTGACTAGAAATGCCAGCCAATCGTAACTAATGCAATTTTCAGAATAATTCATATCCTAACAAATCTCGCAAATTCTGTCGTTTTGTCCTTAATCTTGATTTAAAACAATGTAACACTCTTTAATCAAATAGCATTAATTTTACCAAAACCATATCCGACACTTTATAAAATAATACACTATCTTACATCCAATATCAGGACCAACGTTTTTACAAACTGGCGGCCTATTTACACCCGTAAAAATCTGGTTGATTTGGTAAACAGTATCTTATTAATGGTTGAGTATCAAAGAAAACACACGGGAAATAACCCCTCATAGAATCTTGACACGGATTAAACTCAGCGCAAACAAATGCTATTGTTGAGACTCAACAGGGCTTCATTCCCGAGAGGGTATGTTTTTGATTACACGCCCTCGGAGTAGAATGGTTATATGAAGGGCACGGCGCCTTCTGTCCTACTTGTGAGAGGGATAGCGTATGGGGCGTAACATTTATTTTATTTTTTTAAATTTCCAGGTTTCGTTTTTCAAAAGTTTTAAAATAATTCCCCTTAGGTATAGTGGATGAAGTTCGGGTTACTTAGGTATAGTGGAAGAAGTATAGGGTACTTAGGTATGGTGGAAGAAGTATACGTTACTTAGGTATAGGGGAAGAACTATAGGATACTTAGATATAGTGGAAGAACCATAGGATACTTAGATATAGTGGAAGAACCATAGGATACTTAGATATAGTGGAAGAACCATAGGATACTTAGATATAGTGGAAGAACCATAGGATACTTAGATATAGTGGAAGAAGTAAAGGATACTTGGGTATAGTGGAGTTTCTCTAGTTTTACCCCACAGGAAATTAATTTTTACTGGCATCAACTTAATTAAAGCCAATTTCTCGCTTAATCGTACTTATAGAGTTCAGGTGAAGTTATCAAATATAGAAACCGAATTTAACAAACGCAATTACAATCAACAATTTCTTATATTCAGCAGCAAAATTTAAATACTTTTAACATCAGTATTCATCTATCAGATTGTTTAATATCCTCACTTATGATTAATTTAATTTAGCAAAAGAGTGGTGTGATAAAGACGCTATCATCTTATCCGAGGGAAGGGGTTTCACATAACTGTGAAAAACTTAATCGAATCTTCAAACGAAAGCCAAACTCAATTTCAGCTTAGAAAGTTTGCACTCTCCCAAGATGTTATCTCTTTGAGGAAAATTCGGTAAAGAAGGTTTAGGTTCGGTTGAGGGCTCCTCAGTGAGGTAAAGGTGTAAAGTATTCCATTTGGAGGTTTCTTTAGACCATTCCGCATTTCAGATCATGTCTTTAAAGATAAAGTGCGAAGTGTCTTAAACAGTTTTAGTACAAATTACGTTGGCGTAAATTTCACAAATCGCCTGGAGTGCATTAAGGGGGAAAATGTTAACTAAACAACAGAAGTAATTGTTCATATTCGTATATAACATGTTTTGGGCAAATTGTTGGATATATTATCAAGACAAATTTTGGCAATAATAAAACAAATGAGAAACGAACTCTACAAATTGTTACACGATTTTTCTATGGTGTTTTGATTTTTCAATTGACGTTGGATATGCGATTAACCTACTTTGACTATTTGATGTTGAAGGACTCTGGCAGTAAGTATCAGTTTTAATACTGATTTGTATGATGTGGTTTGGTTGTTAGACAAAACATACACGTATCTTGATTGAGTCATTCAATACTAGTGTTACTGTGTAGAAGTAGGTTTGTTGCATGCTTCTTTTACTGCGTTATATAGTTATGGCTACTCTACTGTAGATTCACTAGGCCAGCAACTAGGCTAAGTAATTACGCTTTCCAAAAGTGTGTTTTCCAAAAATATCTACACTTGGGCTTTTACTGCCCCTTTTAAATGGTTGTAACCATGATTTCTAAATAAGATATCTAACCTCTTCACGTGGACGTCCCGGGCTCCAGGAGGGCTTCACTTCATCTTCAGGACAAGTCTCTATGTCCACAGTCTCCTCGTCGTCGTTGGTGTCAGAGGAGTGGCGAGGAGCGGAGTACACGGGGTGGAAGGCCGAGGGGTACAACTTGCCCTCCCCAGGGGGTAGAAGTAGGGGCGATGTCGGGGGTAGACCCAGCCAGGGTAGTGCGGAGTACGGTGACAGAGGGTGCTTGTGCCACACGTAGTCCATGACGATCGGCAAGGGAGGGACACGGGTGGGTGCTGGTGGAGGCAGTGGGAAGGGAGGAGGTGAGGGGTCCGCGCCTGGAGACTTGACTGGAGGTGACCTCTGGGGGTTGGAGGTGGAGGAGAGTAGCCGCTTTCTGGTGCCACCGTTGAACATTGCCTAGAAGAAACATATCAGTATAGAGTAGAGCTTCCAAAATATTTACATACAAGCTACAGTATTAAAAAACTGTAATAATATAAACCCCTGCAACGTTTGGATGTAAAATATTACATGGATCTCGATTAAAGATGTTCCCAGATGGATTCATTATCCTATTCCAATTGTATAAAAAATATGACTACTGAGTAGAACATAGTCAATGGTATAAAAGATATTATTCCATCAAACTCTTTAGATTGAATACATTTCACATTTTGATCCTAAAGTAGCATAAAATACTTCAACATTATTGCAAAGCTACAGGAAAAAGAAATAATTGATTTATAGCTATCCTTTATATATTAGTATTAGACATAAGTCCTAGCTCGTAGTCGTAAGCTGTTCGTACTTTCAATAAAGACAAGCTGCTAAACCCGTGCTTTGCAACGGAAAGAAAATTTTACCTAGAGAGCTATTAAAGTGGTCTGATGTGTATTTTATAATACAGCAACTCTATGATTTAGTTTCAAAATATAAACTGATTTAAAAGTGTAACCCTACCTACTTACTTTCAAACCCCTACTTTTGATGTTAATAGATCCAATAGAATATGACAACATACCTTAGTGTAGCAATAGCATCAATCGCTTCATATTGATGCTTCATGAATGACATGTTTGACAATAATTCTTCAATTTTGGTCAAGCCTCTTTTAGCTTACTATATAAATTACAAAATGAAACTTTGAGCAGTACTTTACAAAACGTATACAACTTCACTTTAAACCCAAACATAACCCTCCTCGATCTACATTAAGCGTCACAAACATCTTTTTCGAGTAAATAAACAAACACCAGTTCATTGTACTGACCATCTGTTTCATTAACTAAATTCAATTAAATCATTATTTAAACTTTGGAAACATGCCAGGAGTAGGCCTTTGGAAATCAGCCTGTGGGACAGAGCCCTTAAGAAATTCGTCCACATCAATACTTTTCGGCAATTCAACACACTCTAAGCTTCATTATTATGTACCATATGCCTATATTTTTATTTAGTAAATGACCTTAACCGTTTACATAAAATTTGATTGTATCACTTTAATAATATAATAGATATCCGAATCTTCTAAGTTACGTGTTTTAAAATAATTGCATTAATAATGAGTGAACAAAATACTCCAGTTTTTAAGCTATCCTTTTAATTAACATTCGTTATTGGTCCAACCATTATCTACTAAATACTTAATTCCTTAAACCAAAACTTGCTAACGTTTTTAATGGTAAAGCTTAATCCATATTTTAATGAAACACAAAGGTACAACTCAAAAAAATTATAACTGCAATGTAACAAATAACTACTGTCACAACAAATAATCAAATCAAACGTCATATTTACTTTTACCTTGACGTCTTCCCAGGCGTGGACCACTTCTAGCGGAGGATTGCCACTGAGTCGCATGTGTCTTCTCCAGGAGTTGAAGTTGGCCGCGTCGGGCTGCACGTACTTGGCGTTGGGCCCGGTGCGGTGCGAGTGGAAGATGAACTTGTTGGGGGAGAAGAACAGTCCACAGATGGTGCACTTGATACACTTGGCTCTGGAGGAGTTATACCTGGAGGGGAGGAATGCTCCACGACATCCCCAGGCGCACTCGTGGTGGACGCTGAACGCGAAGTCGTCCGGCAGTCTGGGCGGAGTGTTGTCTCCCAGGAAACTCTTGCAGAGCCTCTCGGCCTCCCTGAAGGAAAAGGTCGTAAAATATATTTACAATATTGTATAATACGAAAAACTAGTCACTTCCATCTATGTCCATATCATAGAATGTTTGTAAAAAATGTTTTGTATTGATAATATTGTTTAGCAAATATCTATTTGCTAATTGAATTCACATGAATTTCTTAAAGACATATTAACTAGTTGTAATGCCTAATTTTGAAAAAAAAAAACAAATAAAAAAACTGTCAAATTAATAAATATATAACAAATAAAATTAAAAAAAATGTTTTTGGAAAAAAATAATTAGTTATCTTAGCTACTTTTTGGCCCATAAAACCTATTGATAATTTCTTGTTGCTGCTTACAGGGCACCTTGGGTATGAAAGCAAAGACTTCTTTTGCCATTGATTCTACAAGCCATTACAAGAAACCAGATTCAAACATAATCTTAACATAATATTCACCAGTGGAAGTGCTACCTTCTAGTGATCATGCCACACCGTCGCGACGACACAGGCATGGCTCCTGCTCTACGTAGTATCTCCAGCTGTACAGGGGTACACTGCACACAGGTGATGCCCAGTGCCACCCGACGGTTGTGTATCTCGTTGTAGCTGAACTCCTTCAGCAGAGTGTTGCTGATCTGCGCCAGACAAAGTCGCTCCTGGTTCTCTATGACCAGCGAGACTATCGGCACTCCGTACAGCAACACTGTCCCTACCTGTGACAAATCGTGATTGCAACAGGGAAATCTTGCACTTTTAAGGCACTTGATCACCACACAGGCACTTTATGAGCGGTTGACAGCGAAGCACTAAGAATTATTTATTTAAGTTTCTATGATAATGAACAGTAAGAGTCAGTTAAAGCCTTCATAATATGTTTTATGATCTAACGAATAACCTTTCAGCTCTAGCACTATGACATCTTAACTGTTTGCCATTTCGTTCACCTGAAAGTCTGGGCATTCCATTTAATATCAATTAAAATATTTAATTTAATGTAAATATTGATATTCTGCCATTTTTATCAGCATATGCAACAGATGGTCGCCTGCCACTCTTTGGAGTACGCTGCCGCGTGAGGGTTAGGTTATTGTTACAAGTCAGGAGCCCCGCGCAACAATAGCCAGGCGCCGTCTCAAAAGGGTTGTTTGTTTACACGGGTTTCTCCCTACGTGCCAGTGAAAGACAATAGACCCATGTCAACGGACTACGTCAATAGGGTCTTTGACATCCACCAGAAGCTTCTACGGTGATCTGTAAACAGCTTTGTTTGGGCTACTAGGTGCATCCAGAATGTTCCACGGTAAACTTATATAAGGGACCGTCTTCCGGCACACGGCAGTTGAGTTGAGTTAAGTCTTCCGAGAATCATCGAAGCGACGGCACGCCGGTGTGAGTGACCAGTGCTAGTGGCAGTGACAGTGTAGTGACAGTGAGAGTAACAGTGTTGTAACTCTAGTGACAGTGTAGTGACAGTATTGTAACAGAAGTGATAAATCCTGTAGAGGCTAGCTGTAAGTAGAAACATTGTAAATTACCTCGGTTTTAGCTAGGTTTAGATAGGGTTAGTTAGGTGTTAGGTAATTGTAATTATTGTAAATACAAAATATTAGTGTAAATAAAATAGCTATTTTAAAATCGCCAAGTTTTTATTGTAAAGAACCTGTTAAGCCCGCAACAATTGGTGTCAGAAAGCGGCATTATTTTGGCGATTTTAATTGTAAAATCTTGAGTTTAATTTTAGTTGTACTAGATATTTTTAAGATTCGAGGTCTTTGTTACATATTAGTAATTTTTGTCGAAAATTTGTTTACAAAGGAAAAAATCATTTATTGTAAAATTATTTTAACTGTTTGGCATAAAAATGGCTTTCAAAGGTGTGAAACTTGATGAGTTAAAAGTAGCTGATCTTAGGAGAGAATTAGAAGAACGAGATCATGATACTAGTGGAACTAAATCAGCCCTTCAGGCACGCCTTAAACAAGCTTTAATTGATGCAGGTGAAGACCCAGATATTTTTTTATTTGAAACATCTGATATCAATAAAATGCTAAAAAACCTAGAGTCAAAGATGTCAGAAAATAGTAAAACATTAGAGTCAAAAATGTCAGAAACTAGTAAAGCGTTAGAAAACCTAGAAGCTAACATTGAGAAAAAAATGTCGAATGTAGAATCAAAAATGCTGAACAAATTAGATGAGTATTCTAGCAAAGTTGATAGTTTAGAAAGTAGAATGAATGAAATCGATGAGAAAGTTAACTGTATAGAAAAGAATCTAGAAGATAGGTTAGTTGATAAGCTTAGGCAGGAGATGGCTGCATCGGGGAGCTTCACACCTGCGTCATCGACTAGCACTGGCGAACTTCAGCAGGGTAACACCCTTGAAACGATCTCCAAGCCAGCGCCCACCATTGCTGCCGTTGCCCCTCAGAACGTCGTTCCTCACTTCGATGGCAAGACTCCCTGGGAGGACTACATGCTTCTATTCGAGACAGCGGCTATGGTCCATGGGTGGACCGAGGAGACAAAAGCTTCGACACTGTGTCTTGCACTACGGGGCGATGCATTAGCTGTTCTGCATGCTATGCCAATGGCGGAGCGGAAGAACTTCGCAGAATTAGTAAGGAGATTGGACATGCGCTTTGGACATCGACACATGGACCAGCTCTACCGATCACAGCTACGGAACCGGATCCAGAAGCCCAGTGAGTCACTCCAGGAGTTTGAAGCCGACATTGCTCGCCTGGTGAGAAACGCTTATCCCTCAGTCACGGATGATGTCTACGAGAGCTTAGCGGTGGATAATTTCCTAGACGGACTACGTGAACCCGAGACTCAACAGGCAGTGAAGCTCGCCAGACCAAAGACACGGAGTGACGCACTGACACAGGCGCTGGAGTTCGAGGCTGTACGGCAGTCGGTGAGAGGTCAGGCTCGAGTCCGTGTGGCAGACGCAGAACCTACAACTCCACTGGACATCGAGGACCTGGTAGAGAGAGTTCTGGAGGCACTCAAAAATCGTCACCGGCAGGCACGCTGTTGGAACTGAGGAGAGATGGGGCGTCCCCGGACTAAGCCTCATTCAATCCCTCCAGGATCGAAGCAGGAGTATGACTTCGAGTCAAATAATCGCACTGGGCCGGGCCATAAGAAGGCGGATGCACTCTTCAGAAGACAATGTGGAGACAGTGGCAATCATTGTGCGCGCAAGGAAGACTACAGTGCATCGGTTCGTCGTGTGATCGTCATTAACGACGAAAAGGACGAGAAGAAGCTTTCAGAGGACCGGAAGGGGGACCCAGACCTAAGGCACATTATGCAGTGGAAGATGGACAATAAAGGAAGATCATCGTGGCAGGATGTGGCCCCCTTGTCAAAGAACGGGAAGATGATGTACGAGAAAGTCCGTCGCAACATATCTGGAGCAAGTGACAGGATGAGGGAGAGGTACGACGTGAAGGCCGAGAAAGGAGGATTCACACCTGGAGACCTCGTGTGGCTACACAATCCCCGAAGGCGTCGTAGATATTCGCCAAATCTCCAGAACTCGTGGGAAGGACCTTATGAAGTTATTTCCCGTCTAAATGACGTCATCTACCGGATTAAGAGGCAACCAGACGGCAAACCCATTTTAATCCATTTCAACAGGCTTGCACCCTACAACGGAGATCACGGCAAACAAGAGGAACAACAAGTTCGGAACCTCTCAACCGAGCCAAGAGACATCGTGCCTGAAAGACGTGGAAATGAAGGACCGAGGCTGTTATACAAGGACCTCTTCACTTTGCCAGTGGAATATGCCTTGGCACACTGCGTAGCAGAAGACCTGAGAGCGTCGCGAGGTATAGCCACAGTCTTCAGGAAAAAGTTTGGAGGGACCGAAGATCTTGAGCGGCAGAGCCCCACCATTGGCACGACTCTTCACCTGAAGCACAACGGCCAGCATTTGTTCTACCTCGTTACGAAGGAAACGTCAAGTAAGAAGCCCTCCTACGAATCGTTGAAGAAAAGCCTGCAAGACCTGCGAGACAAGCTTCTTCGGATTGGAATCAAAAAGCTTGCTATTCCCAGGCTGGGATGTGGTTTTGACGGACTGGAATGGAGGATTGTGAGAAATATGGTGCAGGAACTTTTTAAGGACACTGGAATCGAAATTGTGGTCTGCGTATACAACCCATGGGGAACCTCCGGTGGACCAGAAGATCGCAATCTTCAGGGGAAATCTGTTCTGGGGCAGAACAGCCTTAAGGAGGGGGTAGTGTTACAAGTCAGGAGCCCCGCGCAACAATAGCCAGGCGCCGTCTCAAAAGGGTTGTTTGTTTACACGGGTTTCTCCCTACGTGCCAGTGAAAGACAATAGACCCATGTCAACGGACTACGTCAATAGGGTCTTTGACATCCACCAGAAGCTTCTACGGTGATCTGTAAACAGCTTTGTTTGGGCTACTAGGTGCATCCAGAATGTTCCACGGTAAACTTATATAAGGGACCGTCTTCCGGCACACGGCAGTTGAGTTGAGTTAAGTCTTCCGAGAATCATCGAAGCGACGGCACGCCGGTGTGAGTGACCAGTGCTAGTGGCAGTGACAGTGTAGTGACAGTATTGTAACAGAAGTGATAAATCCTGTAGAGGCTAGCTGTAAGTAGAAACATTGTAAATTACCTCGGTTTTAGCTAGGTTTAGATAGGGTTAGTTAGGTGTTAGGTAATTGTAATTATTGTAAATACAAAATATTAGTGTAAATAAAATAGCTATTTTAAAATCGCCAAGTTTTTATTGTAAAGAACCTGTTAAGCCCGCAACATTATGTTAGGTTATTTTAGATCAGTTTAATTGTTAATAATGATCAACCAAATATGATAAACTAGCTGTGTACCCGTTCTACGCACGGGGATCTTATAATATTCAGTTGAAACCTTCTTATATAAAGAACAGCAGTTGGTTTGCATATTTTAAGATATGCTGGCCAAACTATTATACATAGCTTCATTTTATGTTGTTTTTTGTTGTTCCGGATCGGTATGACAATCAATAAAAGGTTAAATTACCTCTGTGTCTGCCGGTCGATCCTATAACGGTAGGCTTACTTTTATTTTTACTATCTGATCTCGTTTGCATGGCTCAATCACGTCCTGGTTGAAGTTCGTTCGCTACGCTCACTCACCTGTATGTTGGAGCTCGTTCGCTGCGCTCACTTTCCTTCAGGTTAGCTCGTTCGCTACGCTCACTTGCCTTCAGGTTAGCTCGTTCGCTACGCTCACTCGCCTCCAGGTTGCAAATTAGCTGTTGTCATAAATGTAAAAGAAATAATAGTGCTAGTGCTGCACCCTGTTGGTAATCCTTGTAACTTTAATGCTATTGAACATCACAGAACAGAACCAACTTGTTTAATTGAAACAGCTGTTAAGATTCAATAATTTCATTTCTCATAAGGTTAACATGGGCTTCCAGAAATTCCACGTCAAAAATCGACAAAAACTTGATTTTCAAGGGCTTACTGTTAAATATCTAACTGTCTCATATTCGATGAAATACGTCTAAAACCATCTCATATATGTATAGTATTTGGAAAATAAGTTTCAGGCGGGACAGTGCTATAGTTATTGAGGAGTAGTTGTAATAAAGTGCGTATTTTAGCGTTACCAAGAGAATGACAGATAGACAGACAGACAGACAGACAGACAGACAGACAGAAATTGAGATAAGGTTTGATTCGGTTTCTCTGACCTATGAAATGTAAAAATAACCAAAAAGTTCATTATTCTAAGCAATGTACAGACAAAACTCTAATTTTATTTATATAGATGTTACCTTGTTTGGAATTAGGCCATTTATAAACCAAACAGAACCAAGCTAACCAAACTGCCGTAGGACAGTGTAAAATATTATTCTTCAAAATACCATATGGCTTAACATTTTTTATATGTGTAATACATTAAATCGATATTATATCGCGTGAAAATGAAA